GCTTCAACTGTGCAAAAACAGACCGAAGTTCAAGCTTTGAATCCAATTTTGTCAAACTTATACAAAATTGCAGCAAAAGTCAGTGGTAAAAAAACAAAAGTACTTTTTGATACCCTTAATAAATCTGATCATTTAAGTAGTTTTATTTGGCTGTTCAGAGTTTAAGCAGCTTTGCATTTGGCTGTTCTGACTTTGGCCGTTTTGCGACCAACACATTTCAACCTCTCAGGTATCATTCATGGTTTCCTAAATAAATGGAAATCTTCCGTTCTTCAGTAGACAATCTGAGAGGTTGGGTTGTTCTAGCTTTGGTTTAGTTTTTCCTTTATTCTCGCGTCGCTTACGACCACAAAAGATGATTTAAAGACTTCAAGATTTTATATTACCCAATGCTCAACCTAAAATTTATCTCCTTAAATCCTAAACCATTATCACAGTATGCATTTTCAAATCTTCCTGAATCACTTTCCGAAAAAGAGCTTTTGATTGCATACCAAGACGGCAGACTAAAACATATTTTGAAAATTATATTTAATTTACCAAAGAAAAAAGGTGAACATACAAATCATTTCAGAATACATTTCAACTATTATATTTTTCTATTGTGCTTTTAATCCAGTCCAAGAAAAATCCAACTCTAAGGTAAGCATCGAGTGCATGAGACCTCCAACAGCTCATGTTAGCCACTGTGATTCCAGCAATCACCCAATGTTTTCGAACTTTCACCATCAACGGATCACCAAGTTTAGGACATGCATCTTTTGGTCCTTCCGGGTAACCAGCACAAAATAAGGAATCAGTGAGATTTTTGTCAATAAATTCAGGTTTATCGTAAAATCTTCTACAATCACCAGATCTTATAATCGGCAAACTGGTTGTATGCATACTTGAAGGTAATTTTCTCTCTGTTGGATCTTTGAAAATAAAGGAAAAAATAATCATTAATTATTGGTATTATCGAAATAAAGAAAAAATGACTCACTCCGTTCTGTCCAGCCAGCCAGTGTTCCATAGCGACCATAAAAAGTTTCTCCAGGTTCTGGTAAACAAATTGGTTGGATATTCCTACTGAACTGAACTGGTTCTTTCAATAATAAAAGGGCAATATTGTTCATAGGTGTTTTGCGATCTAAATCCGGAAGGAAGTGCGCTGATTCCACTCCAATTGTTTTTTTGTTCCATTTGTCACCTAGAACAACTCGTATGGATTCAAAAGAACTGAATATAAAATGGGCCGGAGTCAAAACCCATCGATTTGCAATCAAGACACCATTACACAATTTGAAATGCTTGGTTGGATCATCTGCTTCTATTGAAGCGTAGAATGGCATTTTTCCTGGGATAGTATCGCGACCACAGACTTGATCAGTCAATTCATTGTCATAAGATTGGAAAGTCGATTGTGACTTTTTATAAGACAAATGGAGTCCATTTGAGATGATGGGTAATGTAAACAACAAAAGAGGTACGAATGAATTCATTTCAAGTTTGACTAGAGATAGATGAGGATGAGAACTGACAAAAGGATTCTTCATGCATTGCCTTTAAATAGCAAGAACTTTAATCTTC